TCAACTAGTCTGGTCTTCGGTCATTAGTTTTTAATGAGTCAAATCTATCGAGATGGTCTCTAAATTCAGGTGGAATATACTCAAGGTCATACTTTGGCTCTTGTGGACTTGTTCTAATTTTCTTTCATTTCAACTTGAACAATTTGAACTTGCATATGAGCAAAATTGATGGTCTGTTTCGAAGTTGGCCCCTGGCCTTACTCTGACTGATGATACTGAGCTTCTCCATTGTCTCCTTTCACAGATGTAGTCGATTAGATTCCTGTATATTCTATTTGGCAAAGTCCACATGTATAGTCACCATTTATGTTGTTGAAAAACAGTATTTCCAATGAATAAGTCATTGGTCTTGCAAAATTCTATCATGTGATCTCCAGCATTGTTTCTATCACCAAGGTCATATTTTCCAACTACTGATCCTTCTTTGTTTCCAACTTTCGATTCCAATTACCAGTAATTACCAATGCATCTTGATCGCATGTTCAATTTCAGACTGCAGAAGTTGGTAAGAATTCCATTTCCTCATCTTTAGCATTAGGGACTGGTGCCTAAATTTGAATAATAGTCATATTAACTGGTCTTCCTTATAGGTGTATTGATATTATCCTATCACTGACAGTGTCATACTTCAGAATAGATCTTGAAATAAGAGCCATCACACGAACAGTCATATGCCACCCATGTTCATTGCAGCATTATTCACAATAGCAAAAAGATGGAAACAACCTAAGTGCCGATCAACAGGTGAACGGATAAATAAACTATGGCACATACACAGAATGGAATACTACAAGATGATAAAGAACAACGACGAATCTGAGAAACATCTCACAACATGGATGAATCTGGAGGGCATTATGCTGAGTGAAATAAGTCAATCACAAAAGGACAAGCATTGTATGACCACTACTATAAAAACTCAGGAAAAGGTTTGCACACAGAAAAAAACAATCTTTGATGGTTACGAGGGAGGGTAGGGGTGGGGTGGGGAAATCACTAACTAGATAGTAGACAAGTG